CCCTTCTTGAAGGCCTCCTTACTGTCAAGTCAGTTCCGACTCACAGCCCTATAGGGTTCCCAAGGGAACCAGGCTGCATGCCACATCTGTCTTCCACAGAGTGATTGTGGCTGGTGGGTAGGTCAGCAGCCAAGCGCTTTCAGCACAGCCTCCCTCCTACTCTTGCCCAACAGTTAGGAAGCTCTCTTGGGTAGTGTTGCCCTGTTGGAAGGTGCTGCCCTGGAGCACAGGCCCGAGGGCACCTTGGCCACAGGTTGCTGAGCCGTGCAGACGTGGGCTGATTGGTGCACTCACCCTGTAAAGCCCCACTCACCTCAAGACATCGATTCTCGGGGTTCGGCGAGGCCGGTGGGTGATGGGCTGTATGGTCTCCGCTGGGGCCGCCACTGTGGAATGTGGCTGTGGAGATATACTGGCTCTTGCATGTATTCTCCTTCCCCCATCACCACTTGCAGCCTTAGATCTTGCTGCTGCTCTCAGTGGATTAAGATTTATGGTTTCCTCAGCCTTGTAATACTTGGGTGGACAGCAGCCTAATGAACAGAACGATTGTTTACCAAAATGCTGTCAGATTGGATGAACGTCACCAGGTTTTAGCATTAAATCGGTAGTGAAGGGATTAGGCTTCCAGCAATTTACGGTGGGGAGGGCTTTCCTTAAAGGTCTCCAAAGCCAGCTCATTGCAATGATTAAATCCAAGGCTTTGCTCTCCCACAACTGCCACATCCGGTTTCCTGTTGCGGGCCAGGCAGCTGAGCTTTCCTGAGCACTTGCGGGAGAGCTCACAGGTGAAACTGAGAAGGTTTGAGGGCCTTTCCTCTTTCTGAGCTTGGAAACCCACGCAGGGAGGACTGTAAGAAAGACACCTACAAAGCATGGGCCTTTACAGTGACCTTGCCCAACAGACTGCGTCAGAAGCTGCTGTGAAGTGAGAAGAACGTAGGAAATGAGGTAGATCTTGTAAAGATTTATGGTCTCAGAAACTTTTTACCAAGAATCCTTGGGTGGTGTAGCAGTTAACGCTGTGACTGGTAACTGAAAGCTTGTTGGTTCGAGTTTACCCTAGGTGCCTTGGGAGAAAGGCCTTTTGATGTACTTCTGAAAAACCAGCCTTTGCGGACCCCATGGAGCACAGTTCTACTGTGACACACATGGGAGAACTCACCTCAGACCTGCATTTGCCAGTGTATTCAGGGCTGTCCTACCTCTAGAGGGAGCCATTTACCTACCATACAACCTGCACAACCACACAGGGCAGCCCCCAGACTTGGTTTTTTTTGACATGGCTTTGAGCACTGTACTCAGAGAAAAGGCAGATACACACAGATAACTCTGGGAATAACACCGTGTGTGGGTTGAGTGTGGAACAAGCTGGCCTTGGAGTGGCAAACAGGAACATAGGTGCTGAGTGTTGGGGCTTTTAAATCCTGTCCCAGCATATGGCTGATGCTGCAAGAGCCTCCTGGCGCTGGAAAGAACCACCACTTAGAAACAGCTACCTTGGGTGAGGCAGTGTGCCAAGAGGGAGTGGGCAGCCAGGAGCACAGGCATCATCTCCAAGCAAGGAGGGGTGGCGGTGGGGGGCTGGCGTAGGGAGCAGGGCATGTGCAGGAGGGGGGAGGTTGGAGTGGAAGCCCTATGCGTGGTCAGGAGGTGGGTATGTGGGCGTTTTCATGGGGGAGGGCTGTTCTCAAAGCTCAAACCAGCAGCGGTGGTGGCAAAGGAGCCTGTTTGGGCTGGGGGTGGGAGAGCAGGCCAGATGGAGGGCTATTTATTCCTCTCCCTAGCACCCACTCAGCAGTTAGAAACTTTCTGGACCATGTTAATTTTATCACATGTTGCTTCATAAACACATTATGTGTGCTGTGTGAACTCCTTAAGGCCAGAGCAGTGTTTTGTTATTATTATTTTTTTTTTTTTAGTGTCTTGCTGTTTCCAGAATCTTCTAAATGTTCAGTACTCAGTAAAGCCTTGCTGATTCAGTGCCTAGACTCCCACTGCAAGTCCTGAGCCCGGGGTGCTGAGGAGGGGAACAGGGGCACCTACCTCTCTTCTCTGAATGTGGAGCCCTCTCTGGTCTTCACGATTGCAGTCCAAGGCCAACAGATGTATGAGTGCCCATTCTCTTTGTAGCCCATGGAAGAAGTCTTCAGGCATGGCTCGATCTAGGTGCTCAAGAGTGTGTGTGTGGCAGGGCTTGCTTGTTGTCGGCCCTCAGCTCTGCTGTCCCCTGTTTCCCTAAACCAGTCCATGGGACTCTGATTGACCAGGCCTGAGTTCCATGCTACACCCACCCCTAGAGAAATCAGTCCCACATGAACCTTGTAGATTAGGGTGAGGGTGGCTAGGGGTGTGCGTAAACTTCCCCAAAGACATCAAGGAAGACAGAATGGGTGCAGTGTGGCAGGCAGAAACCACCGCTCCCCCACAGGCATCAGGATCTCCCGACCTGCCGCTTCTCAGACTTCAGTGTACCTGGGAACCACATGGCTCAGCATCAGGAGATCTGAGGTGGGCCCTGAGACTACATTTCTTCCGAGTTCCCTGTGAGGCCAATGGCGCTATCCGTGACCCTAGCTCCTCCCTCTCTAGATGAAGGAACAGCAGCCCGTGGAGGGGCCAGCCTGCACCCAGCCCTGACCCAGCACAGCGGTACTCCCTCAGCTGCCTTCACCCTGGTCCTCACTCCAGTGTGGTGGTCTCCTAGCACTGGGACATTGTTGAGAGGGTCCTGCACCTTCCCTGGAGGTATCCTGGAGAACCTTCTTAAGAGTAACTTCAAGGTCTTTTTACAACTCCACCCTGGCCAGACGCAGGAAAGCCCAGAGTCCCGTGGCCTGGAAGCCTGGCTTTTGTTTTCTGTGGAGTTTCCTCTAAGGACACCACTGCCAATGCTGACAGATGCTCTGAGAGGAAGTGTGACCAGGAGGAGGGTGAGGCGTTGTGAAGTGACTAGGTCACCTTTAGGAGGAAGGAGGCCTGTGGATACTTCCCTGTTCTCTGGTTGGGTAGCCCTCTGGCTGCATCATCTCAGACGCTACTTGCTCTTTTTCTTGAGTGATCTGTGGGCCAGGCCTCTCTTGTTTGCATATTAGATCTTGCCTTGAGTCAGAATTGACTCCACAATAATAATGATTTGGGGTTTTTTGTTTTTGATTTTTAATTTTTAGTCTCTCCGAAGACACAGTAGCCCAAGCTGACACATTTGTTCTTTGCGTGCCTGTTGGGGGGGCAGTCTGTGTGGCGCTTTAGAGTAGCCCTGTGGGGGGCCCCATCCAGCTGCAGCCAGATCTTGTAAATAAAGTGTTATTGGAACACAGCCATGCTATTCTGTTGTGCGTTGTTTGTGACTGCTTTCCTGCTACAATGGCAGAAGGGACACACAGAGACCATATGGCCCACAAAGCTTTTACTCTCTGGCTGGTCCTTTCCTCATCCCTGCTCCAGAGTAAGGCCAGAACAGTGCCCTAGCTGTGTGATCTTGGACACTGTGGTTGCCCACCGGGGAGAGGAGCATGGCACCCATTTTCACTGGCACTGACCTCCTGGGCTTGCTGGAAGGGCCAAGTGGGCCAGTGCATCCAGGGCCCCTGGAGCAGCGCCCTGTCCACAGACAGTGACACGGCTCAGTGAAGACTGCTTGGAAATAGGTAGCTTTAATCTGCTGATAGCTCCAAGGACAATAGGGGCTGGGTGAGAGGACAGGGGGACCCAGTGTCATTTTAGGGAGTCCTCTCAAATTTGTGCAAGTTCAGGGCCAGCTCTTGAGAGGGACAGCTGCTGTGCATTGTATGCTCTGGGGACTTTCCTCACCATGGCCCTGCCCTGCTGAGTCCAACCCAACCAGCTTTAACTCCAGCCCTGGAATTAAAGTACCCAATTATGGATTTGGCTTGCTTTTAGGGGCCATGTTGGAGGGATGTGTGGCAACATAGGTAGAGTCGATGCCCTGTAGGGTGAGTGGCTGCAATCCCCCTATGCTATGTGCCAAAACCCTGTGTCAGGGGCTTGACCTTTGTCACTGAGTGTTACCCTCATGGGAGTCAAGTAGAGAAGGTGTCATTGGTCTTGTTTTAACAGATGTGGAAGGTGGTGCTCGGAGCAGTTAGGTGACTTGACCAAGGTCACACAGAGAAGAATCATCAGAGTTCCAAGAATACAACTGGGTCTGCCTAAGTTTACAACCCAAGCTCTCACACCACCTACCTGTGAGCACACCAAAAGCTCTCACACCACCTGTGAGAAAAGCTAATGCCATTGTCATTAGGTATTGTCAAGTTGGTTCTGCTTCACAGTGACCCTTTATACGGTGTCAGAGAAGTGGCTGGTGAGTTTGAACCACCAGCCAACTTTGCGGTCCAGTGCTTTATCCTACAGAGCCACACAACCACAAAAAATGACCAGGGCCCTACAGAGGGTGATCCACTAGGATGGGTTTAGCTGCATGTCACAGAGAGTGAGTGGGTCACTGAGGCTTAACCAGATGGGTTTTATGTATTTATTGTTTTCCTCTCCCATATACGAGGCAGGCAGACAGGCAATGAGGGTGGTGGGATGGGCGGATGATGCCACCAGGGACCAAGGTTCCTGTTTTCCCATTTGGCCATTTCTAACATGGAGAGGGCTTTCTTATTCTCACCAGAAGGTTGCTCTCCTCCTAAACATCCTGTCCACATTCTAGTTAGGAAGGAGGGTAGGAGGGCAGCTGACAATAACAGCACTTACTAAAAGTCTACTAATAAATTCTTTCAAACTAAAAAGTTACTTTAAAAATCCTATAGAACATACTTGGGAACCAGTAGGAACCAGTGAGGACTTTTAATCAGAGGGAGCATGATGCATATCAAAGGGATGCTGGTCATTCACCCATTACAGCTTTATTCTGTGCAGACAGACCACCCATCGGATCACCAGCCCCCATGTGTTAGACCTTGTCCCTCCAAGGAGTAAAAGTATCCATCTATACCACCTGTCTGAAACAGTGTAATTTTTATGTCTAGAAATCTGTGCAAATCAGAACAGAAGCTGGCTCACGGCTCCACATCGAACCACCTCTGGACGTTTCTGAAGCTTTTGAGCCAGATGGGGATGTGACTATCAAGGCAAAGGAGGAAACTTCTGGGGATCATCCACAGGTAGGAACCAGCCTCGGCCCTGAGCTTGGAAGCCCTGGAAGACTGTGGGGCTCTATGCTCCCACAACTCTCAAGCACAAACAACTCTCACGCCTTCCTCCACTTGCCCCTGTGCCACTTCCTTCTTGCACACATGCAGCATGTGTGAAGGAACCACATAAACCATGTGCTAGACTCTCCTCTGGGCACTGCTGCCCAAAGACTTAATGACATGACAGTCCCTGAGCCAGGATGACTGGAACAAAGGAGGGAGAATATGCGAAGGCATGGGGTCACGAAGACTGGAGGTGAGATGGGTGGACAGAAAAGATGATGTTCAGGCTGCGGAGCTGTAGCTCAGAGTCTGTGCCACACAGCAGCCACAACTAGGAAATGACTAGGGCTTTTTTGTTTTAAAGTTTTAATTGTGAATTATGTGATAGTTTATGTGGGAGAACATTAGCTTTACATTCATCCTATTGTATATCGTTTATTGCCATGGTTACAGTCCCCACCATGCATCATCAATCAACCAAAGGGTATACCCTGCAAGCCTGCCTCCCCCCCCACACCCCCAAGTCCGGTCATCAGCACACAGCCCCTCTCCCTTTCTGGGTCTAGAGTCCCCAGCTTCTCCATCTCTCCACGTCATCGTCTCTGCCTCCATCACCGGTGTCACTGCTTCTCTGGGGATGGTCCCACACTCCGCTCTTCTCCCTTGATGGTCCCAGAGTCAGTCATTCCCCTCCTTTTGCTACACAATGTCCACCTGTACATTTTCAACCCTCATAGTCAGTCCTGATAGCAATTATTCACCATCGTACAAGAGACCTATCTCCATCTCCTTTTATCACCCCAGCCCAGACAGATTGGATACTACTCAGTGGAGATTTTACCTTCCTCTGCATCCCCTGGAGCTAGGCTCCCTCTTGAAAATTTGTAAGCCAGTCACTTCTTGCCTTTGTAACATTGGGTAGCCAATGTCCAAGTTGCCCATCCCTGTCTACCCTGTGTATGGAGGGAGTGGGAATGATCCTCGCTGTGAAGATTTGTTCCCTCTTCTATAGGTGTAGGTTAAATTCATCAAATTGTATCAGATTACTCTTTTTTTCCTCTTCTTTGTTCTTCTAGTTGAGCTCTGTTCATCTAGCCATTGAAGCCAGGTCAAGTGGGTATTATCTGCAAGTGTGTGTGTTAGGAATAGACAATCATTTAAACAACCAAAAGGCACATTCTACAAGCCTGCTTCCTGGCCACCAGCACATAGCCTTTCTCTTTCCATGAGTCTAGAGTCTTTAGCTGCTCCCTCTCTCCATATCCTCATCTCTGCCTCCATCTCTGGTGTCGCTGCCTCTCTGGATAGGGTCCCATATTTCGCTCATGCTCTTCTTCCTTGGTGGTCCTTGGGTCCTCTGTTTCTGGACTGTAAGATTAACTACTCCCCCATTTTTGTTTCAAAACATCTACCTTTATAGTTGTGACAGTCGCAATTAGTCATGATAACAATTACTCACTATTGAATCATTAGAATCGTATCCCCATCTCTTTTCATCAGACCCATCTAGACAAGGTGAAAACTATTCAGTGGGGGCTCTACCTTCTCCGTCTGCTGGATTTTTGACTTGCTTGATGCCTGTTGTCTCTTCTTTCCCTCCATCTGCTCCCATTTGTAATGAAATACCTACCTTGTAGCCTGTTGCACTGTTGTACTTTGGAAGCAGGTAACTTACATTCTAGATTTACAGATGAAGAGAAATTTTAACCCCAGGTTGGAATTTAGACTTGGAAGACTTTGGAGATATGATGGGGTGAAACTGTTTTGCATGTGGCAAGGTTGTGTATTTTGTGGGGGGCAAAGGAGGGTGGGATGTTATATATTGAATTGTGTCCCCCCAAAATGTGACAGCTTGGCTGGGCCATGATTCTCAGTTGGTTTATTAGTTATGTGATGATCCCCCATGATGCCATCTGATATTTTAAGTCAATAAAAGGATTAAGGTTGAAATGTTAAATGCCAGTGAGTCGCTTCCAACTCATAGCAACCCTGTATAGGGTTTCCAAGGAATGGCTGGTGAATTTGAACTACTGACCTTAAGGTTCAAACTGACTTTGCAGTCGATCTAGCTTATTAACTCACGATGCCACACCTGGACTCCTGGAAACCCTATACAGAGATACTATTAGTCAAAACTGACTCAACAGCACTTAACAACTATATCTGTTTATCTATCTATCTGTCTAATCTGTATCTACCTAAAAATCTTGATTTCAACTTCCCTGGTAAAGCAGAAAGCTAGAGCTGCCATGCTGGGCTGTCCTCCCACAGTGCAGCCTCCAGAGGGAACTGATTAGGGGCTGTCCTCTGTAGGAAGGGCATCTGTTTACTGGAGTCCCCACCAGTCCCTTTGAAGTCCCAGTGTCAGCAACAGTTTATTAATATGACTGGGCGACTTCTCCTCTTATACCCGAGTGGCTTCCCCTGTCACCTTTCTGCCCTTGTGGCTCTTGGGCAATGGAAAGGAATGAGGCTATGGAGTCAGACAAGGTGCTTACTAGATGTGCACCCTGGAGCTGGTAGTGTTCCTTCTCTGAACTACAGCTTCACTATCAGTCAAAGCTCCCAGGGCTGCTAGGAGAAGGGGGGCGGGGGTGGGAACGGTCCCCACATATGTGTCACAGATGCTTCATCTGCAATCAGGGGCCCCTGGGGGCAGCAGACAGACAAGGAGCACATACCCTGAGGTCACCGCCTTGGCCCCACCACTGACTGTGCTGTAAAGTGGGCTGGATGGTGGGACCTTGCCCACAGCCGACAGGGAGGGAATGAGTTAGTGTTTGTGAAGTGTTTCAAGCAGTGCCTGGCACCCAGTAAGCCATCCCTCTATGGGAGTGAGCAGTGTGGGTCAGAGGGCGATGGAAGTCCCCGGGGCTCCTGCCTCTGGTGTGTCGCTCACCCAGGCGTCTGCTCATTCCGTGACTACTTTTTGAGTACCTCCTTCTAGGGCTGGGATCAGAGCAGTAGGTAAGGGTCGGCTAGGCCCTATTCTGGAGCGTACTTTTATGGCGTGGAACGGGAGGTAGGCAGAGGACCAGAAGAGAGCAAGCATGTAAATAATTGAAGGAGATGAAACAGTGGGGTGAGGTCCAGAGTGTTGGGGGAAGAGTTACTGCCACCTGAGCACTAAACCACAGCTGAGCAGCAGAT